ATCTTCTTTATCATCATCATCATCATCATCATCATCATCATCCTCTCCATCATCATCACATTCATCATAATCCAATGATGATGATGATGATAAAACCACAAGAAAAAAAGTCAATCTTCAAATTACCTTTGTCATATTGTTATATCCTAGAAATTGGCTCAATACTTTAGGTGGTGAAAGTATTTAACTTTTTTTCTTGATTGTAATTGTTAATTTGCTTTAATACCTTCATGTTGTTATTGTTGTTGATTTGATTTCAATTAAATTGCCAAGGTTATGATTAAATTGATGAAAAGCTTTTGTTTCAATCAAGTTAAATTTTGGCTCAACGAAAAAAGTTCATTTCTTTCAATACCTCTGATTGTTTCTGATTAATCTTAATCATTTCTGTAATTACAATCACTTGATTGGGTTTCAATTTATTATTATTATTGATTTTTGTTGCTGTTATTTAATAGTTACACCTTAATTGTTTGCTAATACATAATATATATACCTGATTATTATATTAAAATGTTAATTGTTGGTTAACCTTTTCTGATTTTTTTGATCATTTTTTTTAAACTGAACCTTTTTTTAAACTTTCCAATGATTAAGGTTATTGCAATTTAATTGCATTGTGTTATTAATCAAATCTCAATAGGATTTAATTGCATTTCTTGATTAACAATTAACCTTATGTTGATTCTGATGAGATTGATGTATAAAGAGTTAATTTAGTTTGACCAATCAATAGTAAAGTGGCTGTAAAGTTAACTAATAACAATTTGAATAGTTGGAAGGTTAAATCAGAACAAATTATATTTAACTTTTAATTTAATCTAATCAAAGTGAATTTATAAATTGTTACAATGAGAGGAAAATTTTTTTACTTTTCTTTTTACCATAACAAAGTAAAGTAACACAATTAATGATCGACCAACAATCAGCGACGATTACAATGAGCAAGAGCAAATTAACATGACAGTTGATAGACAAATTTACACACTCACATACACACACAATCAACCAACAATTAGCATAATTATTGAAACTATTGGACTTGATAATCAAAGTTACAGATCAAAATTGTAATCAGAAAAATTGTCAACGGTCAACAACAAATTACCAAGGAAAAGTTTTTTCAAACATTTGAGAGAAAAAAAATTGAAAAACTCAAACTTGTTGCATGTTCGCAACAATCAATGCATATAATCAACTAATCAACCAACTAACTATTAACGATGATTATGATTGCAAATAATATTATTTATGTGAATCAATTTTATCTCTTTCTTTCTCTCTTTCTCTCATTAACTATCAAGAGAGAGAGAGAGAGAGAGAGAGAGAGAGAGAGAGAGAGAGAGAGAGATATTTAGTTTCTCGTAATCCGATTGATGCAGCCTGGGACATGTAATGGTTATCAGAGAGAGAGAGAGAGAGAGAGAGAAATGATGATGTTGATGCCGTTGATGATGATAATGATGATGAACAGAATCTTAAGAAGATATTGAAGAGAAAATTAAGAAGAGAAGAAGAAAAAAACACTTGACTTGCCTTAAAGTCATAACTTTTTCCTTAGGACGTCTTAGAACCGCTTCAGGCCGTTCTAAGGTAAAATCAATCATTTGATCCCGTTTTATATGTTACCTTATAATACTTATTATATTTGCCCTTTTCAAATGGTAACAAATCTTATGCTGCTTTTTGAGATATAATTAATTTCAGTTTGAAAGATGATCATTAAGATAGAAAGAGAGAGGATGATGAAGATGAAGATGAAAAGCTCTGAGAAATTAAAGTTAAGAAAAAAAGACGAAGATGAGAATGATGATTTCTGATGAAGGAACCATTAGGTAATGTCAACACCCGAACTGACCTCAAGCATTTTCATTAAATTGCGTTTTACTTAATAATAAACTTTGATTTCTGATTAGTCGTTATTATTATTATGGTTCTGATCATCGTTATTGTAATTTAATTTCATTTAATTTGATTTTCATTCACCTTTTACTTTATTGTTTTTCTTTTACTTTGCTTTCCATTCAGGTAAATTGGGTAATTTGTTACTCTAATTGTGTTTGTGTTTACTTGATTAACTTTATTTTAAATTTGGTTAAGTTTTCAAGAGCATTTTCAAATCAGTCTCATTGTTTGATTTGCTTAATTGTGTATATAAATTAGTTGATTAGCATTCAAGATAATCAATTGATAACTTTTGTTACTTTCGTACCCTGGGTCCAGTTTAATTGTTATATTAACGCTGATTAGCAATTTAAGTTTTATATCTAACAATCAATGTTGATTTAATTATTACCACAAGATTAGTTAATTTTAAACAATTTAATTGATCATCTTTTTTTTTTCAACTTATTCTGTATTAATTGGAAGTTTTTTTTTCTTTAATTTTTATCTATAATAATTAACTGATTAGTTTAATGAGATTATGTTAATTTAATGAAATCTTAATCAGTTAATCAGGATTAAAGGTAATTAGCAAATTGAACCTTAATTTATTTTAACTTAATAGTTGAAATAAGTTAATGATTTTTAAACAATCAATTTAATAATAAGAGGAAAATTATTTTTATACAATTAAATTAATTACTGTTAAAATACCTTTGTCAATAGTAATCAACGATTGTTGAGTTAATTAGCTTGTGTTCAAGAGTAACAATTAAGTTTGACAGAAACTTTTGTCAAATTATTGATATTTTCCCATGTTAATTAGATTAGTAAATAATTTCTGATGATTTAAGATTTTCCATCATTCAGATTTTACCCTTGAGACATTGAATTAGATTCTGAAGTAAAGAAATAAAAATTCTGAGCAATAATTCAATCAGAAAAAAAAAGTTAAACTAATGATATTAAATGGAAATTGAGATAATTATCAACATCGTAATGATAAAAATAAAATGAAGAGAAAAAAATTAAACGAATGATGAGAAATACATGTTGATGAATTAAAGGAGCAATTTGATTAAGAAATTAGTTGAAGATGAAGTTAAAATCCTAACGGTGGCCTCATCTGAACATGAACTTGATTAACTATTGGTGAAGATGAGGATGATGATGGAAGATAAAAGTGAGAGAGAGAGAGAGAGAGAGAGAGAGAGTCATTTTGTATCTTCCTTGTTCTCTCTCTCTCTCTTTACAATTCATTGATAATTATAATTAGAGGTTCAGAGTTAATCTCTCTTACAGGTAACCTTAGGTAGAGAAATTTTTGAAACGAAAATTTTTCTCTCTCTTTTCCTTTTCATCTTTAATTTACATTTTCATCATCTTCATCTCTACTTATCTTCCAATCATCTTACACCTTAACTTCATCTTAATCTTTATTCAATTTTTCATCCTCATCTTTATATTGACCCAAGTGGCTTAGACTTGAATCGTGACCTTTGTTAGGTAAACAATCAATGGCAATGTTATTTACACATAGATTAGTAAACATCATCATCTTCATCTTCATCTTCATCTTCATCATCATAATCTTACCTTAAGGATTTATCATCTTCATCCTTCACTATTATTATTTATTTCTCATCAATGTATAAATCAAAGTAACGAGATTCAATAGATTCCCTCCCTAGATTTAATTGTTTACAATTACTTTTCCAATTTCAGTTAATTCCGTTATTATATCAGGTGAATAGGATATAACTGTTATTGTCGCGAACTGTTCAACTTTTTAAATTAGAAAAACTTTTTTGATTCTTTATTTAATCATCAAATTAAACTGTGGACTTGATGATAACTTTGATTGACCACATCAAAGTAAAGGTCACTTTCGGAAAATGATTATAACAAATTATCTGTTAATAGTTTATTAGGATGATTAACATTAGAAATTGATTGTTAGTTGAATATTAATTTCATCTTTCTAATTGGTGATTGATTGTAACACTTTGATTGTCTCAAACTATTTCTTTATGAATACATAAATTGATTTAAGATAATTAAAGTTAATCGTTCATTTAATTGCTCGATTTATTGGATTATATTATCTGAATCACTTGATAGCAAATTATTACCTCGTTTCTTGTTACCAACCAACTGATTTACAATTAACATTAAATTTACTTTTTTTCTTTAATTGTTACTTGTTGATTTAATATCGATGATGTAATTTTAACCTTTTCTCTTAATCTGTTGTTAATCATTTTGATTATAATGATTTGATTTTGTTTTGTCTTTCACTTTAATCATCTTCATTAACAATCTCATTTCTCTTACAACTGTTTAACTTGATGATTAGTTGAAAGTATAATTTACTAACAACGTAATCATAATAATATAAGAAAAAGATTTTAAATTAATTATATTAATTGTGGGAATTTCCCAGAATAAATTAATATTATTTATAATGAAAACAAAGATTGATAAAGAGAGAAAATTGTTTTGTTTTAAATTGATTGTTTTACCAATGGAATTGTTAATTTCACCAGTAAAGTTAATTGTTAAATTAAATGAGCGAAATGATAATTCAAATTCAAGAAGAGAAAAAATTTAGAAAAACAACCATCTAAAAGTTACCTTGCTTAGAGATTAAAGAAGAGAAAAGAAAACCAAAATCAAATTCTTTAATTAATTTTGAATAAATTGAATAAATAAAAACAAATAATTAATTCCAAATTTTAATTGCGACAATTTGATTGAGAAAAGAAAAAGAATTTAATTTAAATTTGGCTCTGCAAAATTCAGTTCCAATATTCGACAATAGGGTGAGTTAGTTTATAGAAGTAAAATTTCAAATTTTAAATTTTCTTGGAAAAGTCAATGAGCTTAAATAACGAAAGAGTAAAAGTTTAACCAATTTCTTTAATTAATTAATTAGTTTATTATTATTTGATTTGTTTATTTGATTGTTCAAGTAATTAGCTATTAAGAATTATTTAAGAAATGCTAGTGAAGAACCAACAATTTTGCCGGTCCGCTGTAAACTGTAAGTATCTCATTTGATTTTGGTTTTGTTTATGTTGCAAATTTTCAGACAAATTTCATTTGATTCAATTTGATTTAATGTTTATTTTTGTCTTTTTTTATTAATTGTTAATTTTGGTTAATTTTCAACATGTTTAGCTTAAGTACTTTTCTACTGACTAGTTAATTAGTCGAAAGAGAGATAGAAAAAGAAAGAAACAAGTAAAAGGAAAAAATTGATTTTCTGTTTGTGTAATGATGTATAAGAAGAACAAGAGATTAATGGCTTATAAATCCCTTTAAGAGTGTTTGTTAATTGATACCAAATGGATTAGAGCAACAGCTGATTTGAAATTCTTTTTCCGTTCTTATAAATAGGTTGATGCCGATTGTGGATCAGCGAGTTCATCTGCTTCAGCCTTTTCTCTTTCATCGCGTTTCCTTTGGTATTCGTCCAAATATTCAGCATAAACATGGTAAAATTCGTTAACCGCCTCCTGATCAATTCCTTCTCTGGCAGCTACTTCCTCCAAGGATGGACATTGGTCCATATCCGCGAAATAAGGGACATCACAAGTTCCATTCATATATTCGGGAACATTTTCTAACCCAATAAGATCATCGATATTGTTTCGATTGACAAAAATGACCAATTCTCGAATCTTGGGAGGAGTAAAGGTTCTAACCATTCGGTAAACAGCCTTGAGAACCACTGGCATCTCATAATAGGCCACATAACCAACGGACGATGGATAATTACCCTGGATGAATGACATGGTTTCTCTTAATGAAGACATATCCATGGCAGTCACGGCCGGATTACGACAATCATAAATCAAACCGAACTTCATTCGTGTTGAAAGTGCGATCCGATCAATCATCTCCAAACCAAAGATACAAAGACGTGTCATGAGAGGCATAAACTCTTTGGGCACCGGTGGAACACAAAGTCGAGAATAATAGGTGATCATACCTTTTTTATCTTTAACGTACATATGATTGGCACCAATTCGAAAGAATTCCTTTGGAAAATCAGTCTCTTTGATCGAATTGACACCAACTTGTTTTCTCCATCTCATTGATCGAACCAACATCTTAATTGCTTCATCTGCTTTTCCATCCTTCTCATCTAAATATCTCCAGACAAGATAATCATTCTCCATCACTCTGGTGTAATCATCTTTTTCGTACAAATCACAATTTTCCTGATATTCCTTGTCAAATGAATCACGAATCGATTTTACTTTCACAAAATCTTCATCACTCATTTCCCAAATCGATGTCATGTTTAACTAATTGTTTCTCCTTAACCAGAAGAATATTTTTTCACCAGTTAATTAATTGGAAACAGAAAAGATGATGATGATAAATGGATAAAATTCAATTGGATCAATTCACAATAATGAAAATCGATGATTTTAAAAAGATAATTAACTCGATGATGATGAAGATTCAAAAGTGAAAGAAAATCACTAGCATCTTTTGTCTTTAACCGAATCAACAACTTGAATCAGAAAATGGAATTGATAAAAATGAATGAAAAATTCGAATGGATTAACAATTTATTCGACTCATTAATTAACCAACAAAATAAATGACATCATGTAGAATTGATGATTTATTGAACCCTTTTAATTGTTGAGAGTTTCCTTATATCTCGCAATAAAAGGGACATGATGATTTAAATTGTACAAAGATAATTTGTTGATATTTTCCTGTTAACTTGGTAACAGTAGACGAGAAAAAATGATTGTTGTTAATTGTTGATTAATTTGAATTTCCAATCAATTGTATCCCCTCAACATACTTTGTAAAATATACGATCCAGAGGCGATTGTTGGTCGACACATACAGAAACCCGCTCGATCGATGAACGAAAACTTGAAACTGAATTTCGCATGTTCAATGCACTTCGCAGCCTCATAATCGCAACCATATTCACTACAGGCGTGGACACAATAATCGTCGTTGTTATTTTTACACAGAATATTTTCACAATATTCACACGAAACTGTTAATGGAAAAGGAATCGAAAAAGAAAAAGAAAATTTCATTCCAATTGATTAGCTGATCATCACTTTCATAGAAATTGATGGAACTTGATGATCTTTTAAGATGAACAATTAACTTTATTTCCTCTCAATTAAAACAATCAAAGTGAAAACTTACCCATGGTTAATAACATGATTATTATTGAAACTTTGGCACAAACAATTGAAACTTTCTCCATGTTGATTGAATCTCATTCGGTTCCAAATGAAAGATCAATGACTGAATAGAAATTACAATTTAGTTTTTTTTTCTTCTCGTTACCGATCATTATATTAATTTCATTCGCTATCAAATTAACTAATCCCGCGTATTTGTAGTTCTTAAATCATTTAGGAAAGTTAAACACGTAACAAACTAAATGAAAATAAGCGTAAAATGATTACAATAATTAGAGTTAATTTTCTTATGTTTCTATAATTAGTCCAATCACCGTGATTGATATGGTACAATTAACTCTGCACTCCCTTTAAATTGAATGAGAAATTGAAACAACAATCAAATTAATGATCAATTTTGTTTTTCACCAAAAAAGAGACAATTAAATTGTTTTGCTTGAGGCTTTAAAAATAATTTACTAATCAAAATTGGTCACAATTGATTTTCAATATCAATAATGAAAATTAATACAAACATTTATAAGTAATTAAATCAGCTATAAACGGGATTAAACCATTATCACTGATTAAGAAAACTATTAAACAAATTAATCGCAATTAAACTTATCGCTGATAACAATTGTTGATCAAGACTTAAATCAACAAAGGATTTAAGTGAAAATTATTGATCTCAATTAATCAACATTCAATTAACATTCACGTTAATTGGTAATGACAAATAATCAAAGTTAATTAAAATACAATAAATCATTTAATCGTTTATAAAGATTGATGATAAAATAAGGGATCAGGGTGGGTGAAATCGCGGTGGTGGTGGGATAATTTTATATCGTTAGGACGATAAAAAGGTATTATGATTATACAAGAATTAAAGTTAATTAGTTGGAGTAATTAAAGATCACTATTTTCACTCTTTTTTGTAGTTTTCCGTTTTTCTTTGCTATTGATTGGCTTCTTGGGCTCCTTTTTGGAGGAAGATGAAGATGAAGAGAGAGGTGAGGATGAGGTTGAGGTAGAACCGGAAGGGTTCGCCTTTGGTGGACTTCCGTCTTGATTACATGTTTGAACGCAAGCATTTGCCAAGAATTCAGATCTCATGTGAAGTATTTGTCCGATCATTTCTTTCAATTCTTGATTCCGAATATAAGATAATATCCTTTCGAAATCGAAAAATTCGCCCAGTCCTGGTAGAATTCCGGTTCTTTTATATTCTATTTTCTCATATTCGAAGGCTTGAAGAACTAAATCAAATCGATCAAGTTCTTTCGTTAATTGTGCTTCGGCTGTTAATTGCTCTTCATATTCTGAATATAATGAGAGGAAATTATCGGTTACCGTTGATGGTAATAAAGAACCTGTAAAGAGAAGAGAGAGAGAGAGAGAGAGAGAGAAAGTTAATCTCATTGATCTAAAATGATTAACCATCTTATTTGATCAAAGGGTTACAATCAATCGGATTAGCTAATTGTTGGATCAAGGTAATGATTAAAAACTTGAGACTGTAGCTACTTATTCATTTCGCTATCTACTAGATTGTATTAATAGATTTTCTTTATCGATTTTCTTGAGTATTAACAATTAATACCTAATTAATAGATACAATTAATACTCTCATCACCTAAATTCAATCAGTTGAACAATTAACTTGATGAAACATTTCAAATTGGTAAAAGGCTTGATTAATCTAATTGTTTCTTTGATTATGTTGAGAAAATTTAATTATCAATCCTTTAACTTTCTTGAGATCTGTCAAAATCTCAACAATTGTAAATCATGAAGCTGGATTAACTTAATTACCTCTAGTGTTACATGAAATTAATTAATCAAGTCTCTTAATCAAGATAAAGTTTTAAGTTATTACTTTTCAATAGCAATTAACTTTTTCCAATCGATTGGATTTAGATTAATAGGAAATTGTCAACAATTGATTTTAGTGAAAAAACTCATCTAACAATCATAAGTTAATTGTGAAAAGACCGTAATTAAAGTTAAATGATTAAAGACTATGACTATTAATCAAAGAGCCAATCAATTGTTTGACTAATTGTCTACAATTACTCAAGATTAATATCACTTTGAGATCAAATTAATTGTATAATCAAAAGAAACTGGACAATTGAAGATCAGTAAATCAGAAATGTTTATCTACCAATTAACTAATTCAATTATCAGTTGTTACATATTAACAATTCAACGTTTTCTTTTGTAATGGAAATGATTGATTAACACAATTAACATCTTCCAACATTTAACCGACTTGATTAAATCTTATTGAAAGAGATCAACCAACTTAAGCAATTCAATATCAAGGTGATTGGTAAATTCTGGTAACAATTATAATTGACTCAAGAAAAAGTAAATTGTTCAAGTTGATTGTTAAGAGAAAGAAGAAAAGAAAATTAAATTAGTAAATTACGATTCGTAATTAAACAATCGGGATTTTGCTTTTCATTCAGTCAAGGTGAAGATTAAACCGTTGGATTGATTGATTGTTGCGCTTTTTTTTCAATTCAATTTTTTCTCAATTAAATCGATTTTTTAATTGTTCTGATTTTCTTCATTCACTTACTCAGGTATTGGACGGCATTCTCTTCCAGTCGATGTTTCTCTTCGGGTGATATGTCGTCGTACGGAGTAAAATCACCAACGATGCATTCGGCAATATCATGGACCAGAGATAATTTAATTACTTTATTAAGATCAACTTTGGTTGTATTGCTGGTGGACAATACGAGTAAGGGTATGATGGCCATTCGATACATATGACCAGCGATTCGTTCAGGTGAGTGTATCTTATTTAGAATCCAACCAGTTCGTTCAATTTGTTTTAATTTACCAACTTCCATTAAGAATTTAATTTTACCAATATTTTCAGTCTTCGTTGAGAATCAATTGAATCGGAATGAAAACAATGAGAACAATTAATTTTGTGATCATTTAAATTCATTTATGGTGATAATTACCTTGCTTTGGTTAATCTGTTGGCGATTGTATAAAGCTTGATTTAAATTAGAGTCAATTCTTGTTTCATCTCTAATGTGGCGACGGTTAATTGACGATTCTAATATGGTTGAATCAATTGTCTCATCCAAAACTGGTGATGGTGATGGTAATGATGATGACAACAATTCTTGATGACTTGAACCAGCTCCGGGTGAGGTTAATGGTGATGAGGATAAGCCGTTAACGAAAATATCATCGCCATTGATTAAAAGGTTAATGATGATTAAACTAATGGTGATAATAAATGTTGACCTTGCATAATAACCACAAACAGAGGACAAGAGGGTAAATACTTTCATTATAATTAAATTTCTAGTAATTATCACAACTCAATTAAAGAAAATGACCTAATATAATTAGTTAATTTCAATTAATTAGAAAGGTAATGAGATGCAAGAGTCTGAGAAGCAACAAGAAAAAGGTATTAAAGACAATCAACTGAAAAGGTAAAGAAAATTAACTCATTAAATTGATTAGGGACTTGAAAGATTAATAAAGAGAAAAAGAAATAATTAAATTAACATCAACGTTTTAAGGTTAAATTTGTATATTAAATTAATTTCAACAAGAGTGTCAATTTAGAACAATTAACTTTTAAAATACAAAGAGAAAAAGAAACTTGATTAACAATCGATCATCACCATTTATACTTACAATTATCTCTTAATTGTATCTCTCTCTCTCTCTCTCTCTCACTAATGTATATTTGCTCTTGATCGTTTCTCTTTAATCGCAATCAATCAATATATGGTTTAAATATCTTCGTCTTAATCATACAAATACTAATCTTATCTTCCTTTTGTCTTTACAGATTTGCTACTCCAATTGTCACAATCATAACAATCTTCATCTTGTTTACCTTTTTTTACCGTTATTTTCACAATAATATCATCATTATTTGCTCGTTGGTTAAACAACTAGTTTTGGTTTTTTCTTTCCTCATCAATCTCTGTGTCGTCTATGTATTTATCTTACATTAACAGGATTAATACACTATCAAATCTTTTAATACAAATCCCTTGGGTGATCCCTATTATCATTAACTTGATCATCATCATCATTATCAACATGATTGGAATCATTGATTTTCTGTTTACCTTTTATTATACCAAACTGAATCATTCCAATAACAACAATTGTCCAAATTGTGATTTCTTTTCATTTGTAATCAGCTTTATGATGGTTCGTTGTGTTTGGCTTGAAAATTTTCCATAATCAAGTAAACATTATTATTATTAAACCAATCAACTGATAAACTTCAATTAATCAACAATTGTAAACATTAATGGACTGTTTTTCAAATGGTTAATTGTTTCTTCATGATAATTGTGTAATTAGTTTTTTCCAGTGTTGTAGTTTATCAACAAGACTATTAATAAGTCATACGACTTCGTACTGATTGTCAACTTGTTTAGATTGATTGTCGTAACTATTAACCTTCAAATTAACCTTAATCATCAAGCTTAATGATTAAAGGAAAGGTTCATTCCTACGATAATTATCAAGATACAAAGATTAATTCATTTGGATTAACTAAAGATGATGATTAAGTCTTTAGATGCCGGTGATTTAAATCTGAGGTTTTAATAACAAAATCAATTATATTAAAGTAAATAGCAATAGGGATCAATTGATTTACATTAAATAATGATTAATCAGAAACATTAAATAACAATCAAATCAACCTTTTATTATATTGTTGATTCCTCTTTAAGGATCATTAACTTGATTAGTGTAATGATTATAAGGTAAATGAAGATGATGTTTCTCATTTCATCATTAATGTTAACCATCATTATCATCATGGTGATGATTGTTTTTCCATGGATTATTTATCTCCACCAAATTATGTATGATTAAAATTAATTTAATCCTAATCAGTGAGGAGATAAATCAACGATGATGATCAATGAACAATGATCAAGTCAATGAAGATGAGGATAAAGACACTTAACCCATCGGAGATTTGATTATCTCGATGCTCAATGAGTGTGAATTTCACCAAATGAACAAAGAGAAAAAAAAATCATCATGAAACTTCATTTATGTTATTCTGTTAACGGAAAACACTTTAGATGATAAATAGACGAAGAAAAAAAAATGATGAAGATTAAGATTAAAGTTCTGGGAACTTGTTCATCTTAACCTTTTTCTTGCTATTCTTTGATCGTTTCATGAAGAAAAGAAAAACTTTTTCATGGTGAAAATTTCCCAACCTGAATTTCCTTCAATTCTCAATGGAATTTTCTTTAATCTCATCATCTACCTATTCATTGCATATCCCTTGAGTTATCATCATGATCATCATGATCATCATCATGGTGAAATGAATAACAATTAAGATTCCCAATTGAACTTTTCCCCCCCTCATCGTTATCAAATCCATTATTGTATCTATTGGTTAATATGATTACAGCTATTAATTTGATCACTAATTAGTTTTCACCACTTATTATCGTCTATTAATCATTCTCAGCTATTCTTATCCATAATTATTGTACAAATTAATTGTTAAGCTAATTAATCCATCATAATTTGCAAAAAAAAACTTCCCTGTTAACTAACCATAAATATATTATCAAATTTTCAGCCTTTCATATTAATAATATTACACAATTTTGTGTTACAATTAAAAACTTTTAATTAATCATTACGATTGGAATCGTTTCCTTTGATAATACATTTTAATGATACAATTTAAATTGATTAACTTGAAACATAATTACCAATAGAATAATAATTCTGTTATTGTTTTAAATTTGATTCTAATTTTGTTCAAAAATCAAACATAAGTTTCGTTAATTGAGTGCATTGAATTGGTATCGATATTGTTATTATTGTTATTATTTGTATTGTCAGTGGTTAGGTTTAAATTGTTATTATTAATATTAATTGTATTATTGTTTACATTGGTGATAGCAACTGAATTAAGATTCATATTGTTATTTAATCTTGCCTGACAGGTATTGGTGTTGGTCAGTCTATCTGATTGAGCCATTTTTGAGCAATGAAAAACTTGACCCAATTTTTTGCGAAACTTTTTACCAAATATACAATAGATGACGAAATTGATTGATGAATTGAGGCAAACAAGTAGATTACTGAAAATTACCGCCAATTCGTATCCTGGGGCATTAAAAAACTCCATACAATTGACAACGAAAGCGGGTGCATTACAGGCTATAAAAATGGACACTAAAAGTACCAACATAGAGGCGATGTTTAGTTCCGTTTCCTCTTGGTTTGTCAGGGTGGCTCGATTTCGTGAGGCTCTACGAATGGCTTTGTATATCTCGGTGTTAAGAGCGGTTAACAGGGAGAGTGGGATAATGTAGAGAAGAGCGAGATTAAGACAGATATAATATAACCAATAATAGAGACGATTTTGTCGAAGTGCAGTTTTACGAACTGATTGACTGCCCTCAGGGGTTGTGAAAACTTCTATTTCTAAGAATCGAGGAATATTGTACAGAAAAGCTCCAACTGAGAGAAAAATTACCGCCCAAATGGCTCGATTTCGATTGGAAAATGTTCGTATACGAAAAGGGTGACACACGGCAAAGTATCTTTCAGCGGTGATCAAACATGTTGTCCATATTGATCCTGTTTGGGCAATCAAAGCCATTGGATAAACGATGGTCACATAATAGGGAAGTGGATCATCGGGTACTTCGGTGTATTGATTGGGTGCAGGGTGAATTGGGAAATATTGATCTGGGTTTTCACTTGAAACTGAGAGTGATGATATTGTTGGATAATATTGATGTTGATGCTGATGATTCTCACCAGATAAAGATGACGATGCAAGATTATCTGGATGATAATAATCACTCAAAGAATCAATTATCGATAACGGTAATGGTGATGATGCTACTGAATTAGAGTCAATTAAACCATTTGGTAACCAAGATGTTGGTCTAATTAGATTTAAAATTGATCTGTTGGCTATCGTTGAGGTGGATAAATTAAAATGAGAGTCAATGATTGCTCCAAAAGTATTAGGATAATCATAAGAACCATTGAGATTTATATCACCATTGTTACTTTTAATTGAGTTAACTGAATCATCAACAATCAATGGATGATTATCATCATTTTTGAAAAAACTTTTCGATTCAACAAGGTATCGAGATGATGAAGAGGAAGACAAAGGTGTAGAAGATGATAAAGGTAATAACGATGAGGTATAAAAAGATGATGATGATGATGATGAAGGCGATGTTTTAATCATATGTACAGATGAAGAATCTGATACTGTTTCCGGTGGGCCACTCACTGGAAAAGATAACGAATCGATTGATGGGAACACCATGGATGGAAGATAATCACTTGGATTCTGTTTGGTGTTTGTCACCAATGCTGGTATTCCGAGCATGAGAAGAGCGTTAATCAATACTCCATTGTCGTAGATTGCGAGTACAGTCAAATAAACGTTGATGGGTTGACGTCTCATCTCATTGAAAGCATTCAAGATGAAAAGTGTCACTGTATTAGCCGATATACCAAACAGGCACATTGATGTTAATAAAACACCATAAAAATAAAATTCAACCCAAGGTTCAACTCTCATGATGACTTATACCCCTTGACTTACTGCTGATTAGTTTAATTGTTGATTGAATTGAATATTTATTCCATTATATTAACATTTCATCCATTTCACAATCACAGGGTTTACTTTAATCCGATTGGAAAATGCTGAAAATATTAGATGAAAAAAAAAGTAATTATATTATATTAATTTGCCATCAACGAATAAAAAATCGCGCATCTTCAATATCGTAATCCCATAGATCTAAAGATTCTGAGCTTCTTTACCTGTCTACGGCTTAATTCAATTTAAATTGATTGCATCCGTTTGAATTCATCAAATCACATCATGATCATCCTATTGATTCTCGTTTGTATTCATATAAAGGAAGACAACAAAGAAAAAGGAAGATGAAAAAGATGAAAATTCTGTATACATATTACCATGGAAATGATTTTTTCGTACAAAATACAAAGCAGATTATCATAGTACATGTATACGAACTGAGATGGAAAAATATGATGAAACTTCAAGAACAAGATGGTAACATGAGCAAGAAGCTAATTCAGAGAAATTGATGAAAGTTTCTGAACCATGAGTTTTCAGGGAATTTGTTAAATCTCAATATGAGTTATGAGAAAAGGGGTTCGAGCTGATGATGGGAAAGAAAACTTTTTTCCTCTCAATCGACTTAACCTTTACAATGAACAGTTTTACTCTCTTACATGATATTCATTTTACAAGTATCATGAAACTATTTGAGGTTCTAATTTATTAAATATCATCATCATTATAGTCAAAATCTCATTTGAATGATGATTCAATTTAAAGTCATCATCTTATTAGGCTTGTAAAACTCATAAAAATGTAAAATTCATGAAACAAAGACTTTGTAACTACCATGAAAATGATGATTACTCAGTAATTTCAATTTGATAGTCTGAGAATCACAAGCATCTTAGTTGACAAGATCTCAAGAAAACCTTAACGAGCTCAAATGATTCTTAGTTAGAGTTCAGTTCTTACATCATGAAAATCTCATAAAACTTAATTTATCTCTCCCTCTCTTTCTTGAAAACAGATTCTCATCTCAGGGAATTTGTTTCCTGGTTAAATTGTGATTGAATTCATATTTCAATTAAGATAATAATAGAATCTCATCCTTGTAACCTTTGTTATCACATTCATCTAATCACAATTTACCTGAAATGTTCAATCTTAATTTATAAACTATCATCTAATATAATTATCTAATCATCATCATCTCCAGGTAGAAACCATGTTATCGCTTCCAGTAATTTGTAGTAGTTAATCACAATTAAATGTTAATATTACATTTATAAAGCTAATTGAGTTGATACAAAATAATTAATGAACTAGCAAAAAGCAAATTAGATTAATAATTATCACTAATCAAGTATATTAATACATTTTGAACAATAAATTGGTCAATAATTAAATAAGTAATTATATATATATACTATTAGACTAATCAGTTGACTAATTAACTTATAACAACATTATCATACTCTTGATAATATTAAACTAACTGGGAAGGATGAAATGAAAGTGGATTGATAAAGTTAATCCAAGTAAAAATTTATCAGTTAATCAACTGACAATTCAACTAATAATGTTTCTGCCCTGAGGCAATTCAGGTTATTACATATTAATATTATCTTGTTATTATTATTATTATTATCATTTTGTAGCATTTGAGGAGTAAAAAAAGTAATAATATTTTGCCTTAAGATGTTGACTCTAAGGTTGATTGATAATCTTTATTGTACTTTTAATTGTTGTGAACAATTAAAGGCCAATTTAGGAAAGATACAATTTATATCCACTCTAATCATTTGATTGTTCGTGATTGCTCAATCAATTCTGACTTTTGCTTGAAAATTTCAATTATTCATTTGATTCAAGTTGAAAATGATTAATTTGTAATGATTGTTTCAACTGTAATTGTTTCATGCTAAACATCATGAATCAAACCATTCATGATTATATTAGTTCATTGAATATTAATGAACTTTTTAGTTGATTTTTTTTTATGTATTTACATTTTATGTACTTGTAATCTTCATGAAGTAATGATATTGTGTAATTCCTGGTTCATTGTAATGAAGATTATAATTAAAGTATTGACATTTTTTTTTGAATATTGAATATCAAAATTAAATGACAAATATAAAATTAGCTGATAAGTTATTAAGCTGAAATTTTGTTTACCTTTAGTTGAATGAAACTTTCTCATGTTACTATTAGATGTTTATTCATAGTATATTGTTTACTCATGATAAAACTTCAGGATCTTATTAATGGTTAACAATTGTAATTATGTACTGTTAACGAAAAGTTAATTGAAATATGAGAACTACAGGAAAATTGTGAATCATAATAATCAGATGAACAATCCACATGCAATGATGCAGAATATAAATTGAACTAAGAGTGAAGCGAAAAACTGAAAAGTTCAGTAAATATGAATATTTATACTTCAATAAATAATAGTAAATGTTCAATAAGAAAATTGAATTCATCCCCTGACCCTCTCTCAGAGATTAAACATAATGATGTAAACAATAAGAAAAGCCTATGCCCTGAATAATTCTGAAAGACTATTATTATCCTCATGAATTGGAACAAATTTTTTTTGTCTTTCCATCCATTCAATGTTTCGTTTGAGTGTTAATGCATATTAATTGTAAGAAAACTGAGTAATTGTCTCATCAATTACGGTTATATATATACATAAAGTGTTTGAACAAATTGTTATCCAAGTAAAAACCCCATGATTATATTCATGTATCTCAGGGTAATCCTGATAAGAATGCTTTCAATAAGCAGTCAACAATCAACTAATAACAACAATTGATAATATTCATGCTTGTTAGTTAAAGGTAATGTCAAAAAGTTATTTTCACACTTGGAAAAAGTTAAGATTATTATCATTATTTGTATGATTACTTAGTTGATCATTATTGTTATCATTCAGTCTCATGTTTGATATTGTTGTTTATATTATTTTCATGCTCATCTTCAGAACTCATGGAAATAACCAGGGTGGAGAGTGGAAGTAGCTAATAGAAGAATCCTTTGCAATTCTATTATTTTTTATTCTTCGTTTTTGTTTTGTTTATCTGAATACTAAAAGAGAGAAAGAGCAAAAAAAATGTCAACAATATAATCTGAATGATGAATTCGGTGTACTTTTCTTGTTGTTATTGTTTCTTTCATGATACTACTCGGAGTAAATATCACCCTGAATCTATTTACTCTCTCATGAACATTCAAAAATAACAACAATGTTCCACTTTTGTTTCCAAAGTTTTTCCTCTTTCACCAAGTAACGATTATCTCTCGGATTCTGTAACAAGATTTCATTTCATCATCATGGTGAAAATAATGATGAGAAATGTCCTCGTGTCTTTAAATAAAAGATAAGTCAAAGGTTAACATATGAATAAAATTTATGTTCTTCAACTTACCTAATAGCTGAGATAGAATTCACCATGATAAAAAAAGAAGCTCATGATCCCATGGCAATTATTTAGTATGATACTAGTTGGAAATAAAGTTAAACTGGGAGATGAAGTGTTGAAAACACTGATAGTTGATTATGGTGACAATTCATGGGATCATTTATCATGAGTGAAAGAAAATGGGTAATGATCATGGTGATAAAATGAGTTATTAAAATATCATCTAATGTTAATAACAATGTTAACTCGATAGCACTCACTTAGTTTTCTTGATAGGCAATCAATTTACTAAATTATGACAATTATTGTTGACGATAAAATTGTTGTCTAAGCAAATTGCAACACCCAAATTTCATCACTCATACAATAATTGTAGTGATAAAAAGTTAACCTGATAAAGTTAATGGTGCTTTTATCCTTAACTCAATCAATTCCTGGTTAAGGAAATGAATTATCAATAAATGAGTTGAAACATTGTGTTTAAATTGATGTGTCACCTCGCGATTATCATGAAATGTCACAGACAATTGATGAGTTTCATAATTTGCTTTCTCTTTCATCATGATAACCTAAATTTCCTGTTTAAATGTTTGAATTGGCTGAATTTTAGAAAGGAAAAAAGCTCATTTATAATAAAAGAAAAATTCTTTGACAATTTGGTTTTTCGTTATTCTTTTTCCTTCCATCACCTCGAATAGATGTGAACTAACTGTCCAAGGGTGACAATGACCCAATGGTCAATGGTTTAAGTTATGGTCAAGTTATTTTTAATATGGTGACAAAAATTTTCCTCACTTCATTTATCTTAAAAAGTTTTTTCAGTCAACTTTTCTCACAACATTGAAAAGTTCATTCTCATTGAATTCTCACTATCATGGTGGTGATAAGATCTAAATTGTTTGTTTTTCCTCGAGTCAATTAAGGAAAAGTTTCAACAAGATAAACAATCTTTTTTAGATTAATCGCCATTGATTAGTAACAATCAATTGATTCAGTTGATACAAAAGCAAGAGAAATTGCTAAAAAGACTCAAAATCTAACACATGATGGATTTCATGATAAAACGATAAGTCATGAAATGAGAAGGTTCAAAAATCGCTGATTTATTTTCAGATTTTCTGGTCATTATCATCTAATTGCAATGATTTGAATCCAGAAAAAAAAGTATTAGAAAAAGTTTCAACAACAATTAGCCATTCATTTGATGTTGATTCAATTTAATTCAACAATTAGATTGAGTTAACATGATTAAAGTATTTGATTTGAGGTAGCAAATTAAATCTATTAATCTGAATAACTTTTTAAAGGCTACAGCTAAATTGTTATCACAATTTAACATAGACATCAAGAGTAACATGATTAGATTAACATGTCAATCAAATTAGAAACAGAAAGTTGCAATTAGTTTGATTAAGGTCAAGATTGTCAAGTTTTTAAAACTGTCACAATTTATACTTGAAAAGTTAAAGTTGATCAGAGTTAATCAACTGATAATAATCATCAAGATAAATTGTCACAATGAACAACAGTTAATCTGACAATTTGTTTGACTTTTTTTTCACCAATTTTTCAATAATCTCATTTTGATTGTGTTGTCATTGTAACTGTTAATTAAGTTGATTCAGTTGTATTTTTTATTACCCAATCAACAACAATGTGAACAGAAATGATAATCTATCAAATTATCATCATCATCTTATAATAAATAAAATTGGTTGACAACAAATTGTAGGTAACAATCAATCAAATAATTTCAATTATCATTATTGTTCAAATCAAATACAATTTATAACATAAATCATTGGATAAAGTTAATTCAGCTTGACAGTATTATCATTATTTTCAATTTACATGATTAGTTTAATCCAATTATTATCCAAAAGGGATGTTTACTTTTTTTTTCATTCATTTTCACATATCATGTTTCAGGAATACATTTTTCATCAGATTACCATTGATGATTATCTGTATTCATGGTAATTTGAACGGTAATTTATTGAATGGTTAACGATGAATATAATTTTCCCAATCAATTGTTGTTATCAATTGAATTTCAATAATGATCATGATAGTTATCAAGTTGACTTTGATTGAAAAGTATTGAGATGAAGTGATGAAAAGTTTGCAACACATCAATTGATTGTAATCAGAATCAATATAAATACGAGACAATATTATTTATGTGAATATCAATTGGATTGAACTTTTTTGTTCTCAGGGGGGAAGAAAAAAAAATGAAGAATTTCATCAACTTTTCTTATATTATAAAGAATAGAAAAAAAAACTGAGAATTCTGTAAGTTTATCTCATGTTGCTTCTGAAAGGATGTCTTGTATTTACCGAGTTATTATTATCTAAATCTGACACTGAGATGAAATTTCTCATATTTGTTAGATAATAAAATGCTAGGTTAAGGTTTTATTTTCACTGTGAACAAAAAATAACTTTAAAAAGATAATGTTATCATGTTGTATACTGAGAATCACCTAATGGAATACCTAAGGTCTCAATAGAAAAATTCTTAGCATTTGGTTACTTCTATCGGAAGATATTAGTACATGAGAATAGATGTAAAAGAGAAACTTGTAAGTTGGAGGATTCGAAATGATTTATTGTCATTGTTCTAAGTATATGAACAAACAAGAGAAAAAGGAAACAAAAGAAAACAGATTATTTGAAAAATTCGGTGAAAAATATCATGGGAATCATTGAGGGATAATTGTTATTCTAGTAATATCGCTAATACATATTAGATGTACTACTCATCCTCTTTTTGTTTGTATGTTTTTCTGTGTCTCTGTTAATAGTTTTCTCAAATCATCATGATGATCAATCTTTAATGATGAACAGATTTGTGATCAAAACCAAAAGAGTGAGACTTGAAAACTACATGGGAATTCAATGGTGACTCTATTTTTCATATATATTAATAATAATAACCATCTTTCTCTGAGTGTCTCTTCATATCATCTTCTTTACCTTCATTCCATGATGATGATGTATCATCATATTCAGTTGACATGATGATGATTCCCTTTTATACTTGAATGTACATTGAATAATCAATCAATTTTATCATCACAATATTGTCAATCTATAAACTGGTCATCAACCAGAATCAAAGTAAACATAATCTGTCCATGGATTGAGTTGTGAGTGTGAAAATAAAAGTTTATCTTATTGTTATCAACAATTATTGTTTGGTCAGTTGATATTAAATTGTTGCTAATAAATTTATTAGTATAAAAACCATTACAATCAACAAATTTCTCGAGAAAAGTTCAACCTTTTCCATGTAGAGAAACCGAGATAATTAATAAATGGATTAAAATTGACTATTGAGTCAAGGGAATACCATTTACACCATATACAGATTATCGTCAGAACTTTTTTGAAATTTCAGTCTCCATATTTGCTATCATGTAATATCTATTAGCATCCAGCCTAGAGTTACATGAACTTTTATTCAATCATTTTTGCTGCCATATTTATGATAAAGTAATCAATTGATGCTAAAGTGATGCAAAATATTATATTGCTGAATTTATCCTAGATGAACTTATCATGATAATAAGATTTAAACTGTTACAATTTAGGGAACGATAAAGGAATTGCTACAATTTATATCTAACAAGGGAAAATAACATTATTTTGATATTTTTTTTCTGTTTTCTCTAAATTTTCAATTCAATGTTTATTTATCTCTCATGAAAATATCAGTTGAAATTGGTTTTCATGGGGCAAAATATATGAGCCTTAACACCAGAATCTGCACTAATGCAATTGATAGATGATCAGAAATTCAAGTAACAAAATCTAATTTCGTAAAAGAAACAGAAACGATAAAAAAAAGAACACAGAACAAATAAAATAATAAGAGGATAGAATGTGAAGAAAAAAAAATATTAGATAACATGAATATTTTCATGAGACTTTGTTCATTTGTCTTTACCGTTATTCACAAGTAAGGACAGTGACAAATATTATCAGGTAAAAGACTTTAATATGAAATTATTATTATCACTTGACATTCTTGAGAACAGAATTTACTTTTTCAACAACTTGATGAGAAATAAAAATCTCTATAAATATTGAAACCACCCTGATACAGAAATCTTTTCATGAGGTTCACTTGAACTACCTGAGCAATTTGATTACCTGTGAATGCTGAGGAAAATGCTGACTTGGGATTGACTTTGAAAACTTTGAAATTCATAGTCTCCCCTGTTTTCCTCATGTCATACATAACATTCAAGGATTCTGAACAACGTGTTCTGAATAATATTTCATTATGATCAAAACTCTGCAAGGTGAAAATAAAGCTCAGTTATCAGCAGTATTTTCTGTTCATTGATTAACTTTCTATTGAATATTAATCATCAGCATTTAGTTAATTATTTGCAACATAAATCTACACGTGTAGCCATTAAAATCTGTCAAAATGTTTCCAATCTAATGAATATTATCATAATGAATCAACTGTTATTATTTTCTGCCTTTGTTGGAATCACCATGATGCATGATGATGATAATATCTTTTACTTTGTTGTTGAATTGCCTCTTCAATAATCCCTTTTTTTTCAAGAGTCGGTTTCATGTGAGGAGGAAAAAAGATTCAAGTTATAATTAATATTACTTTAATCATGGAAATAATAATAATCTGGTGAATATTTTCATAGAGTTCTGCTCAGTATGTTCAGAATTTTTCTAATTACAAATACGTTGTTCCAAGGTTTCTTCATGTTCCTTTATATTAATATATCTTTTCGCCTTATTACAATATATTCCCCCACTCTCTTTCTGATCGCTGTCAAAATCAATAGGAACTTTATATCGTTCGCCCAGGGAGTTTTTTCCGCACCTCCAGACACCCTAATTATCTTGATAACTACATGGATATTCAGGGAAATAGAGGGATAGAATTTCTTGTTACTGATATTCATTAAATTCTGTATAATTCACTCATGTTAATTATATAAGTCGAAGAGTAATTTCATTAATTAATCACTTTCATCTATCGATGAGTAAAAAAATATTTTATTGATCGATAATTAAGTTGATCGTAATTAATAATGAAATTGATTATATTCACTGATGACATTAATGATAACTGTTCATCACAAAAGTTTGATTAAAAATTAATTATCATTGAAAATCAATAGTTACCTTAACTTTTATTGATTGTAAATTGTTTCTAAATTAAATGATGTCAATGAATAACAATGAAGCTCACAATTAAAAGTTGGTCACACAATTAACCAATTAAATGAGCACAAATATCTATTGATTGTATCCAAACGTGAGTAACAATGACGCAGAAACAATTAATCAAATCAATTTGATTGTTTATTATTGAAAACATTGAACAATTCAACTTTGATTATCGGTGACATTGTAATGGATTTAACTTATTTTTTTATTGATTGTTGAACATTTTCATTGAGTTAATGGTGAAAATTGACTGATTTAAAGTCAGTAGTTAGATTAACTGAATTGTAATTGTAACGATTTTTTTTCTCACAAATTAATCATTTAAAAAGTGATAACAGAAAAAACTTTGTTCACTCTAAGTATAAATTGTCATCTTTAACGGTTTAGTGTTGAGTTGAATTCATGATAAAATTCAATAATCAACTGAGAATATAATGTTCATGATGATATTATTTCTCCAGGGTGATTCATTCACCCCTGAAAATAGCATCGACTCAGAATAAGCTCGAAAAAAGTTCCATATCACCGACATATTCATTATTCTTATGACAATAAGTAACATCATTAACCTTTTTTTGGTCCTTCGGTTTACCTCATCATCATTACATGAAATTCAAGTTCTAAATCAATTTCGTTGATTCATTTTACAAATTGGTTAATCAATCTAACAAATTGTCCACTTTATCTTGACAATTGGTCGCTAGATAATTAATTTATTATCTAGTGGATTAGATTTGATCTAACTTGTTAACAGTTCAAATCTCTTCAATATGATAACAGTGATACCCAAAGAAACTTGATTAAAGTTAAACTCATAGGAAATCGTGAGGATGAAAAGGATGAGCATTGAAAGTTTTATCTTTCGATGGATCTGGTATCAGCTGAGCAAAAGACTGGTGAGCAATAAGTCAACTGAGCAAATGACACCTGCGCAAAAATCAATTGAGCAAAATTGAGGGCGCTTCGATCACAATCAAATTAACATGGAAAAACTCATAGGGATACTATAGTAGTTTAATTACAGAGATGAAAATGGTATTTTATTATAATTCATGGTAAATTAGGATATAAAAGTATCTTCTGCGCACAAGTATGAACAACGCGCATCCTTTTTTTCCGCTTCAGAAACTTTGGCCTTAATCGACAATTGAAATTCGATTAGAATCTGATAATTTTGTGTAGTATTTTATCTTATCAATGAATTCGAACGGAGTCAAATGGCCTAAAGAATACTCTGCGGTCAAGTTTTGAATTCGACGATTTATGTCCAGAGTTTTCCGCTCAGTAACGTTAATTGTTGCACCGAACGAGGCCATAAGAAGATTAGTTTCAAAACTGTTTTGGTGTTGAATTATTTTCTCAATGAATATCCAAAGATTCGCGTGATTCCTTCCCATACTCTTATTTAAAGCAAAATGCCAACCTTCAACGTGATTGTTTGTCCGTGGGTCACGATCGTTGTAATGGTTCCAGGTCGAAACAGGAAATCTCGAGTCATCGAGTAAATATGTAGATTTGAAGTAATGAATGAAATCATCAAGATTATCTAGTTGAGGGGACTCAGAGACAATCCAATCAAAAGTGTCATGAATATCGACAATATTTAGAAAGGGTAAGGCCGAAATTCGCCTGATGGTCTTATAAACTTCTGAGTTTTGTTCATTGTACAAATCTCTCAGTTGATGCTTAACCACATTCCTCCAGATATTTTGGCCAAAATGAAATAGACACGATTTAAGTGTACAGGCGGGAAAACATGTTTTGATTGCTTTCATTGAGGCCATTTCGAAATCAGTTGTGAAAAAATCAGGGTTCCAGGTCAGATTAATAGCAGCACACAAATCCTGTACCAATCTTATAAGACGAAGGTAGGTGTTGTAATTAGCTGACGGGATCAAGGCATAAACCGTTGGAATCATTACTCCGTTCACCATCACATGAAAAGTGTATAACGAATGGAAAAGTTTTGGTACACTTTTAAAAGTTCCATCAGCATACACATGATCAGATGAGCTGAGATAATTTAGGAATTTGTCTGTTGCAAATATAAGTATTTTTTCTGAATCACCATCACTAATTCGAAAAAAAGTTTCATTGTCGAAGTTGTTTCTCAATTTATCAGGAATTGTGATTTCTGCACGGTTAGCAGGTAAAGGTGGGTATCGAGAGGAACGAGCGCGCGATAAAGTTTTTTTTAAGCTTCGAAAAGTTTTTAGAGAAGCACCAACAATATCACCTTGATGAGTTTGCATTATATCATTTGAACTTTTTTGGTAACAACTTTTTAGATTAGGAAAGTTTTCGAGTTTAACGTAATCTTTTCCTTTGTTTCGTTGTTCGATTTGGATGATTTTATCGAGTTGTTGTCCATGATTATGGGCTGAAGAGTTTTTAATAGTTCCGAGCTCCATGGTTAATTTACCTGGACAGTTTTTCTCACAACATGTCCAATATTCGCAACTATTTGTCACTACACGTTTTCTATATATAAAATTTGATTTAATCAACAAGTTTGCATTTCGAGTTGATTTAATGAACCGATAATCCATAATCAGTGATAATTAAAACTAAATAACTCACAAAACTAATCAAAATATTAACTTTCGAAAACTATTGAAAATTTGGTACAAGATGTCGAATGAATGATAAAAAACGAATGAGAAACAAAGAAAATAGACATTCTGTTAAATTCAGTTCAATTTATTCAAGTTGATTATCTTCATGAAAAATCCCTAAAGAAGTTTAATTAGTCTAAAAAGGTTTATTTCTTAAATATCCCAAGAAATCAAAATTAAGAAGTTTTTTTATTTAAACTTTTTATTTTATTTTTGCTCAAATGACTTTTGCTTAATTGAATTTTGCCCAATTGTTCATTTGCTTGATTGAAATTTGCCTAAATGAGACGAGCCCCTTTCGATGGATAGAAAAAGTATTAGAACTCGAAAATGATCATTAGTTGGAGAAAACTTTTTTTCGTTACTTTTTCTGATCTAGAAATTTGTTCATCTATTAAGCTTTTCCTTACCCAAAGGCAGATTGTTTTTTTTCCTCAGCATCTTGAGAGTAAAAAGAGGAAGAGGAAGTGAGAAGGTGAAACTGTATTAAGGTGAAAAAATATCGGTTTAGTAATAATATGATCATCGTTGTAAAGGATAACCCATTAATTTAATTCGGTTCTCTTTTTCTCTTGCTATTCAACGGAAATTGTTATTTCATGTTAACAGAATTTCATCTGGAAAACTGAAACTTTATTGTTATTTTTTTCACCAACAATCAACAAATTGTTTCGATATTATCAACTGATTAGTTTTCCATTTCCTTCAATTCTCATGGGTCGTAAAAACTTTTCAAACTATCAATTGAATTAGTTTAATAATTTTTTTTTTCAGTAAAAATCCATTAATTTCATTCAATTATAAACCAATTGAGCGAAATTAAAATTTCAAAAGTAAACAATTAACACTTAATATTGAATAAATTGTATCATTAATTTCAATTATGATTATACAATTTGAAATAAAGATCTGACACTTTCCAATTTAACCAAACTCCATTTCTGCTTTGCTAATTAAGTTAATTGCAATACGGTTTATACAGAAATTAACATGTCTGGTGAGTAAAATTATTTCATCACCAAATACAATTAATTTCAGATTAACTACATATATTAATATACGTCAAGAAAATTAATTCATTCATAATATTTAGAATAGGAAATAAGTTCAGATTTATGGAAATGTTAATGCTTTAAATACAATTGTCAAGGATTTTATGAAGCTTGAGGAAGCAAAAAATGAGATGCAAAAAGTTTATCAAATTATCTTTGCTTCTTACTGAAAGAAATTCAGTCAGAACTTTTTTTCTCCTACAATGAGTATATCAGAATCATATTATATCCAGGAAGTTAAACTTTAGTCCAAGAGGAAGAAAAATAAACAAAAAATGTAAGATAAATCGCTTTATTTGCACAGAGAATCAAAAGTTTTTACAATATTACATGATGAGAATAGTTATTTCCTCTTTGCTGAATTTTCAGTTCCTCCAATGAGATTATCATGATTATATCGGACTCATTATGCCAGAATGTACTTGAAGAAACTTGTATATACATCATTTAGATGATCATGTTGAAAACATTTCATAAACATTGGGTCAAAGTGGGTTAGGTGATGATGAGGATGAAAACATTGACCAATATTTGATTAAATTACTTGCCATGAAAACCGGAAGAAACTTTCATGTCTTAATCAACTTTAGTGTTAGCATGTGGATTCAGTTGAAAAGATTATTATTATAATATTGATCATATTTTTAATCATCCTCATCACTCAAAATTAGATTGATAAGTTAAAGACAAGTAGGTAAGTATTGACCATCCAAAAAGTAAAGATGACCACTAGTACAGAGGCTAAACTGTCCAGTTGACCCAAGATAGTAGTAAGAAGATGTGGGAATTCAGTGTCTCTCTCAGTAGTTGATTAATCAAGGGAGATAGAGAAAGATAGATGATGATCAATATTATAATAAATATATACAGGAATATCTCTAATATTTTGATGGTCACTAAGTCCAAGGGAGTGACCAGTCTATTTACTAGAATGGTCAAAATTGTCTAAGTAACAATAAGGAGGCAAAAACTGGATCACTATTCAATTCATACAGAGTGTATTGATTATACTGTTGATCATCATTATCCACATCATCATCATTATAATCTCAATCGACTATTGTTATTATTGTTTTTACTTCTTGTTGAGTAACTTAATATAATCATCATGAGGAGATGATGACGATAATAATAATGAATCTAATATTAGGTTATCATGGAACAGGAAAAAAAACATTGATTATTTCAGTCAATATGGTTTTGACTTTTGTCTTGTTGTTTACATTCTCATTGATAATCAGTAAATGGTCACAATTATTTTTATGGTCAGTTAATTTCACCATCAAAACGAGTGCTGAGTCAAATAATTAAAAGGAGAAAATGATGACCATTGGGATAAAGTTCTGGAAAAGTTTTGACCACTGAGAGTTTGACCCTGAACTTTTCTGTTTCATTATTAATGTTAGTTACAATTTTTTCTAATTGTCTTACGGAAAGAGTTTATTTTCATTTAATAATTAAATAAATTCTACAATGATTCCAGAATGAATATCATGTTACGTTTAAAAAAATATCTCTACGATCATAACAAACTTATGGATCAATATTGACCTTTTTTCGCTTCGTTAGATTTTTTTTATATTAATTTAACTGAATTAGAGCCTTTTTTGCACAATATAGTATTAATAGTTGAATTCATTAAATAGAGTAAATAATGACAATAAAGATGACGATTTAGATATCAAATGATCATTTGATGCTCATGAAAATCAATTGAAATTCTAGAAGATGAAGTTTCTACTTAGTCTCTCGGTTGTCAAACAGAGATATTCAGATAACTATACTCAATGTGTTCAATTTGAATTTGTAATTTTAGACAAAATTGTAACTTTTTATCATGTTTTCCCATTTAAATTGCTTCAGAATTTGATCCCATGCATCCCTATTGAAAAGCGATAGATGTACAAACAAAACATCAAAGATAATAGTTCATGTATGTTACATGAACTTTAACTTGGAATTGGAATTGGATTTTGATGCATCAGGTTATCATCATGTTCCATTGACCGTAAACATAAAAATAATATTGCTCTTTCATCATTCAATAGAAATTCTAACTACCATTCAAATAAAATATCATGATGCGATCTGAATATTATCCATCGTTGGTAATACAGCAATGAGACAATTTGATTGTTATTTTAACTTTTGCACTTGGAATCAAATTACATACGTTGACAGGCAAGTTATAAACTGAACTGGATCAAATCCCATGTCTGATCATCTTCCATGGTTAAAATCACGATTCATATTTCAAGAAAAACTTTGATTCAATATTCAGATAAAAAGATAGTAAATCAAATTGGAATAAGAAATTCAAATGAGAAAAAAGTTTCATCTTTTTTTAGCTCATGAAATCTTGGCTCATCAATTTAACTCCTTTTGAAACTTGTAATTTATAAATCAATCAATCACCTCATCATAATGTTGAAACTGTAATCACAGTCAATATTTAGTGTCATTGATTGTCACCTATCAATTTAATAACCAATTTACCTGGAAGGCTTTTTCTATCACTGAAACTCAATCATCGAATTGCTGAAATAACTCATGACAAAGTCTCGTGGTGATTGAGTATCAAGGTAACAGGGATAATGTGTCCTGAATGAAAACGCAAATTAAGGCCAAATTTTCCGTCGGAAGTGCGTTTTACGCGAACGGTGAAAGTTCAAACGAAGAAATAATTTCATATTCAGTGTTTTCTTTTGGATCAGCAATCGTACTTTGTATGGAGGCCATTTCTCTAGCAAAACGGATCATCAACTGTAAGATTAATCGTTTTAACTTGAGTTGTACTACTGTTGATTGTTTATAATTAAATGGTAGTAATTAGTATCATGGAAATGTTTCATTCTGTTTGCATTTCTTTGATTGTTAACTTTTAGTTTTCTACGATGAATTTTAATGAGATTTTGATACTCAATTGTTTGAATTAATTTATTTACATTTAGTATCACAATTATTTTTATCAACATGACTGATGAATGAATCCAAGCCTAACAATTAAATACTAATTGTTATTTTAATTGTAACTGAGACAACTAAAAGTGGAAAATTCTTTGAATTGTCTTGTATAATGATTACTTTTAATTCAGTTCTTCATTCATTTTCATTACGTTCAAAAACGTTACGATTTGTTGATTTCATTCGTTAATCATGTCGATTATCTTCAATTTAGATGATCAATGGCTGATTATCATGTAATCATCAAGGTGAATAATGATGAAAAAGGTATTTCTTCATGAGAAGAATAATTTATTTGCAAATTCTTTCTCGAATTAACTTTAGAAACATTTACTTTTCAAAGTGTTTCTGTTTCCATAGGTGTAAACAAATTTAACTCAGTTAAATTGTCTATTTGTTTAGCTTAACTGTTGTAAATCGTAAAGTATTATTCAGATAATAATAAATTTCAATCAAATTTAGAATCTGGACAATCAGTAAATTGCAATCAATAATTTAGATGCGACCTCTTTATCCCTCAATTTAAATTGAAAAATATTGCTTATTTTCACTGGTCATTCATATAAAACATTCATGATTCCCTTTGCTGTTAAGTAAATTACTCGCTCAGACAATCAGATAATCATGATGCATGATTTTGATCATTTCATTGATCAAGAGGTAACAGAACTGAGAGAAATCAGATATCTGAATAATGCCCATGTAAAGTTCTGAGTTCAGCTCTTGACAAACTAAAAATGTCACATCAATTGTGCTCATACAAGTACTAATCTGTCAAAT